AGCGACGAGGAGTCCGTCTCCGAGATGCTGGGACGCAGGGCGATCGAGGAGGTCAATGAGTGAGCGCGGTGCTCCCTTCGCATCATATGTACTATTATGTCTAGTTCTCTGCTTGTCTGCTATATGTTTCTATATACTTTGTAAATAAATGCATGAGTTTAACTATGTCTCTTGACTTTTGGCCTTCCTCGCATGAAATGATATAGCCACAGACACTCCAAATCGTCCCCGGACGGTTCGTATGCACTTTCTTACATGTAACAGACTCGATCGTCCTAGGACGGTTGCCCGCCTCACTCTGCCCACTTCGCTCACCCAACCGTCTCAGGACGGTTCACCCCTGCTTTTCGCTCTCACTTTGCATGTTTATGTCCATTTTGATTACGTAATTCTTACCCTATCGTCCTTTGTAGTCTCTCACTACAACCCATTTACTAGTCACACACTACAAAATACCCAGTACTAAGCCTATGCTAAGCCTAACCTATTAGAATTAGACCTCTATGTATTGCCCCCCCTTCTCACACTTGACGCAGTGGCGGCTTCACCGGCCATGTAGATTCACAATCAGTTGTGATAACTTTCGTGCATACTCTCTGTATTTTATCATGCAATAATTCGCCTAGTTTTACTTGATGTGTCCGCTCAGTTATATCATGGAGCCGCCTTCATCAGTGTGAGCGGCATGCAAGGTAGGAGTGGCAAAGGGGCGCCGCCTGTTGCCGCTGAGTGGCGCCGCCTGTTGCCACTGGCGGCCCACTCAATATCGATTGAAAGCCATATATAACATATTGTTCACAGGCTGAAGTGGATTCTGATGCGTGAATCTGGTAAATTATATCACAAGTACCCATATGCTGAGCCATATTTGGAATACTGTGTTGCGTACACTCTCATTATATACTTTAGTTATAACTCTTGGGTGGTAACTGTCCCCATATATGTTATATGTCATCACATATAACATGGAGAGAAAGGTTTCCTACAGGCAAAAATATACCCCTTAACGGCAGCTAATGTCATATTTGATATTCCTTACTGTCTATTGCTGGACTAAACAATTTCGAAATGAGTATTACATATCGCTTTGGCTGTATATTACTTCTTACGGTTTGACATTCACGACCGGGTTCAGGTCAGCATCATATATTGAGTTGTCCGATGTGGTACCTTAGGCTCCGTTCGGATGCATGGCCCCGTCGCAGCCATATACGCATATTGCTCCGACGGTGTGTTCTCATTTAATTCGTGTTTTTCTCCCGAACCGACCCACCCGCCCTGCCCTCCTTCACAAGGTCATTCGCCGTCATGCAGATGGCGGTTCATGACTTCTACAGGGGTTAGAACATTGGCGATACGCGAATGTCTGGTACATTCGCCCTCGTCGATGGTTTAACTTGGTTATTGCCACTGCCCTCCTCCTCGCACCCTCGCGCTCGCCCCCAGTCACCCGTCTTCGCTTTCTTTTTACCTTTCTTACACCCACGTATCCTCCCTGCACTTCCGCCGGGGTTTGGCTTTTTGACCGCTGGATCAGCCTTCATGTTCTCCCCCATCCCCCCGCCCACCACCTCCCGCGCTGACCACAGTACGGCGCTCCCTGCTTCAAGGGCGGGTGTTCCCGAATGCCATTATATCTAGTATTGAAATGGTACAAGTGTTTTGTGCCCCAGGTGAGTGGTTCAATTTCTATTGCTTTTTCATGTCTTTATTCCCCTCCCACTGCTACATCCTCATGCTGTCCTCGGAGAGCATCGGAACCTGGGTGTTTCAATAGGGACATGCTTCTGCAATCTATTCATTTCCTTTCCAGCCACGCTTGCTTCCCCCAACCACTGGTTATCCATGAATGTCTCCTTGCCTCTCCCCGTCCTCAGCCCTTGCCTCAGCTGCAACACCGATTGTTCTGCTGCACTAGGTGGACAGACACCTCTGCACTGTTGTCGAGTCCGCCAAAATGCAGACGTCCCATGTACCCACCTCACACAATCAGTCTTTTGTGAATGTACATAGTGATATTATAGCTGGTATCGGGATCCGTACATAACTTATTGATACAATGCGATGCAGAAAACATAACGACTCTACAGGAACCGATTGGACGCCGGCTCCAGGCCCTTCGCCATACGCAACATGACCACGTTCGATGACAGACTCGAAAACTGGGATAGCATCAATGTCAGCATGTGTTGCGAAAGGAAGATGATGCCCGACTCACCCCATTCCCTACGAACACCTCCGCCTTTTCAGCAATGGCCATGTCAACGGCCATACCGACGTAGCTCTGCGCAGCGTCGAGCTGAATGTCAAGCGAACTTGTCGCGTCCGCCCATCCATCCTCGCGCAGCGCGTCCTTGAGCCCGTTAAGCCACCAGCCCCACCCGTTCGTGAGGAGGTAGACGCGGCTCAAGCTCGGGTGGTCCTCCCGCACCTTACGTAGCCGCTCGACAATCTGCTCCGTCGTCGGTAGGCAGTGCTCGAAGTAGTACTCCGTCTTCTCGTCCTCGCGAGTCGTGTTGATATACGGCGTGGGATCGAACTTGTCCGGCAGCGACGGGAACTGGTTGAGGCCCATATATTCCGAGTTCCAGCCGGCGAGAC